CTGACATTGAAGTAAAAGTTTGTTTTAAAACAAGTTGTTAGCTCATCAATCTGGTCAAAGTTAAATGGTRTTTCTCTGAATTAAATGTGTTACTTGTGTACAACAAGTAAGGCAATATTTGATCTTAACCTTTCCAGAGAATCATACTTTAAACTATTAGGTTCAGCAGAATTTATGTGCTACAGATGTAGCAATTACAATTAAACATCAAATTTGTTTGCTTTTAATATTAATAGAAATGCAATTTTGAGCTATTTGCCAAAGTTTACATTTAAACAAAAAAATTATTTGAATACAAAATAGTACCAAAGATGCATTCCACAAGTTTTAAAATTCACTTTTCATCAGTAATTTTAGCATTCATATTCCTTTATAAAAGCTAATAAATGAATGTTTGTGTTATTTTCTTCTATTGATTAAAAAAAATCATTAAAATTATAATAAAACTTGATCTACACTTTTCTCTGCTTTGACATTAACCATTTGTTTTCCTGACTTTGGAATTGCCAGCTGGCTTTGTTTTGATCCATCCAGTCCTTTTCCATCCTAATCTTGTTCCACATTTAGTATTCTTTTGCCCTGTGCCACAAACTTCACCCTCCACGTTAACTCACATGACAGATATAACTTYGAATACATTTGATTATATGAAGGCATGTGGTTACGTTTGTGGACAGGTTATTTGTGCGTCAGGACCCAGCTGTGGCACCCTCCCCTCTATAAATGAAAAGTTAGGTCTTTGTGATGTAATTAAAGTGGAAGCATCTGCTTCATATCTGTTGCGCTTTGCACCTGAGCTGTGACTAACTGGACCAGCAAACAAGTCCTACTGAGACTAAAGAAAACGATTCCCATCATCTGGCTTTTCAAGCTCAGACAGGTGGTTGATTACAGATTCAGATGATTTCATGCATGAGGGTTCTGGACTTCAGCTTTTGTCTTTTGATCATGATCAAAAAGGAAAAACAAAAGTTTGTCCTAACAATACGACTTGAATTAACCCTCAGAGAGTCCTTTTGAATTTAACATTTGTTTTCTATAGTAAAGCTGTTCAAATCAAACAAAGATGGATTCTCATTCTTGTCACCTTTACCTCATCTGACCAAAGCATTTTACTTCCTCTTCACTTGAGACCACAACAAATGCTGCTACTGTAAAACTAATCCAGTGTTTTATCAACAATACTTGAAGTACTCCCACCATAAATAATGTCATGGAAATTTAAATGAGGATTTTTGCTCTGCAGTGTAAAATATCCTTAAGCCTCTGATTATCGTTTTTTACACAAACTCGAATTATGCAGACCAGAGGTCTCTGAGGTTGTTTTGTTCAATGTAAAAGTTTAGTTTAGTAGCCCTTGAGTTGGTTAAAGGTCAGTAAATAAACGTTACAATGAAGTAGACCCACAGTTAAATTTGAAAACACAATGGGCAGAAAAYATTTACTCCAAAACAGAAGTTACTAATAAGAAAAAGAAATGAGGATGCAGTGAAAACTTTAACAGCTAAGTTTTAGTTTTATTGATTGGGTACAGATGATTATTTTAGTTAAGTGGCAATATCGACACAGTTTTAACATAAAATTGTAAACATTACTTATCCCAACATYCTTGTTACAATGCCAACAACACTGATATAGACACAATTTGACTATGCCTGTGACAAATATACAACACCGTAGCAATGCTTACAACCTTTGTGTAGATCAATATAACTTTATTGTTGAATAACTGTTAAATAACATTTGTTAATATAACGTATATTTGAGGTATCTGCAATATTTCAGAGTTGGCTTTTTATCCAATTAAATTCRCTCATGTAAAACAGTCCTACAGGTAGACAAAATGTGCTGGACAAGTGGCTTTCATGGAGTCCGTCTCCACATAAGTGCAGGTTTCTTGTTTCTAAACCAGGGGTTCTGAAACCTTTTGGGTCTTGAGACCCGTTTCAAGGGTAAAAAATTCCAGGGACCCCCTCATAAATCCCATGCTGTTTTAAAAGATCATTTAATGTCATTTAAACCCCTAAATGCCATGGAAATATATATTTTTTATTAAGTTTATTATGTTTGTTTTATTGGACCATTGTTCTCCATGCATTTTTAAAACCAAAAGACAAATTAACAATGTAGTGCAATTTTTTGAGGACCCCCAAGATACCTCTTGTGGACCCCTGGGGGTCCTGGTATACCAGTTTGAGAACCTCTGTTCTAAACAACCTGGTTCGTCATGCAGCGAAAACTGTATCAGACTCATGAAAAGAATAACTTTTGCCAGCAACATATTTTTCAATTCACACACACACACACACACACACACACACACACACACACACACACACACACACACACA